CTTTTCTCATAACACCAGAGCCAAAATTTTTTAATTGAGTCAAAGATTTCGGACAACCCAGTATGGGTCGGGCGCGGAGTGATTTATGATCCTCCGCCCACTCAGCGGACGCGGTTCTGGCTCACATTTTACACGATGATCACCACACCAACTGGTGTAATAGACGCCCGCCTTGGTGGAGAGCGGACTGGTCATCCACTTTCTGATGAAGGCGGAACGCGACGTGTTCACGAAGCGACATCGCCTTCTTGTTTCGATACTCAGCACCATTCGCGAACTCGTCTGTGTAGGTCCAGCCCTTCTCTCCATATGGAAGGAGAAGCGGGTATTGGAGTGGATCGTAATCGGCGTGAGTCACATACAAACGTAGCAGCCTTTGATCGCGTGTAAAGAGCAGTAGATCCCGAGGCTGAGCCAGGTTGCCATCCTCAATGAGAGTCGCAGCCACTTCAGACACAGTGGGGCGGTTATGCGTCCTCGGTCGCGAGGACTTATCATGCAGACGGAAGACCAAATCTACTGGAGTCTCCGTGTTGTGTTGACGCACTTGCTGCCCAAAGTGAAGGAACCGTTGCGCTAATGGGTTGTGCTCTGCCATCATTTTCTCGATGTCTAGTAGTGCAACACGATCCAGATCCGCGAATATACCAAGACGTCGCTCCGCGCGGCGTTGCATGTCTGGATCCACAATGTAGATCTGCGCAAACTTGGGTGCTACTCGCGCGCCTGTCCGACGGTCTATGTGGGGGAGGAGAGATCCTAGGTAGTGCCCCATAGCCCCTTGAATGCGATATGTGTACACCCCGTGTGTACCCGCAACGCTCTCGTCTTGATGCACATTTTGAAACGATCGGTTTGAGCACGAAGCACCAATCGACGTAAACGCGAAGGCTTGATTGTAGGCACGAATTTGACGGCGGAACTCGGGATCTCCGTACAGCTGAAGAAGTTTTGGTGGCGCGGGGTGCAGTGGAGGCAGCTTTACCCTGCCTGCCAGACAGCATGATATCGTAGACTCGCCTGGCCACTTCCAAGCATTGCAGACCGGACAAACGGTTGTAGCCGGGAGCTTGTGTCGCCCGTTAACCACGTGGTCACCCGTTATCATGGACGCGTCGAAGTCTGCGAGGGAAATAAGAGCGTGGCCATGACGGACGCATTGGCGTCGAGTGCGCACCCGCTCGAGCTCTTGCTGGTGCTCTTCCGCTGTCTGTCGCGCTCGTCGATCCGTATGCTGCTGGCGATTTAGCTCACGTTCCACTTCACGATCCTGTGAAGGCAACTCCGCACGTCTTTCTTCATGGTAAGCTCGGTCCTGCTCCCGTAGTTCCTGGAGCTGTTCCTCGCGTAGCCGAGCTCGACGGACACGTTGGCGCTCTGCACCCTTCTGTCGGGCGATATTACGTTGAGAGAGTGACATATTCGCTCGTCTCGTGCGAGCTCTTTGTGCGTCGCGTGTCCGGTCACGATCTGCCTGAGACAATGTCCTGTTAGCTCGTCTTTCGCGAGCTCGTTGCGCTGCCGACACCGGAACCGCTTCTTGAACTGTAGCTTGTGGTGTGACAGGGACCGTAAATAAAGCTACCCCAGTGGCTCCGTCTTGATACGCCGCCTCCATTTGAGCCGCGAACCGGCGCTGATATACCGCTGGATTGGATTTTTCCGTCTTCTCCTCCTGCTCTTCCAAAGCTATCGTTTGACCTTCCGTCACTTCCATCGTCTCCGAAACTTCTTGGTTCACACTGAGGGCTTGAAGCGCTTTGTTTAAGTCGCAGCGCTTCCTCCTGCGCTTGTTCAAACGTCGTTTCCGTGCTTCCTTCTCCTCTTGCGTAGGTGTCGCGTTAATGCGTTCGTTCTCGCGCAGGGCCTCCTCGAGCTCCTCGCGCGTCCTCTTTCGCTTACTCCGAACCATAGCTCTGCGAACACGAAAACGTGACGCGTTAGACAATGTCTAAGAACACCGCACGTAGCAGTAGGTTTTCATAGAGTAGTGTGTGGGGATATGCGTACTACCCGGGATTGCTTGCCCCCATCAAGGTTATCTCCGATCACTTATCCCACAGTCACGGGCCGTGAGGCCCGGAGCGGTTTTAGTTTTCAAATTGTGCAGTCGAATCTTCAGGGTTGGGCCTTCGGATAGTACTGAAGCTTGAGGTGCGATATCCTTTTGCCAAAAGGCGGCCGTTAATTGCAAAGGCTGGTTATTGATAGGCTATTACAGCCCCCATCCCATCTGTCGGTTAAAAGAGGCCGGTTACGGTACCCCTCCTAACCAACTGCACGCACGCAATGTGCGTGCCCATCAATAACCATTAACGACCGGCTCAACTGGTTCGCTGTCGGGTTTGCGGTCAATGGACCAGGTGCCAAATGTGCTCTCGCGCAGAGTGGGCGGTGGGATAAAGCCCCAAGAACCCAAAGGGCTCTGGAGCTAAATCCCCATAGCACGGCTACCTACTTGCAGGATAAAATCCCGCAAGTTATAAGCTACCCCCTAAGCAGCCCCAGGAACCTCGGACTATCTGTGTATGTGTGTCTTGCTAGCTACTAATGCTAACTAACATGCATACACGCAGCGTACCTTGAGTAACGTGGCGTTCCGCGGCTTCCGTTTCGAAAATGGGGGCAAAATGAATTTAACGGTGCTTTTAAGTACGAGGTGTAGTTCCACCATACAGTAAGTACTACACATAATGTATGTTTTAGCCAATGGGGGGCCGCCTTCGCTGCGCTCGGCAGCTATTTAGCGAATCGAGGCCGCCTTCACTGCGCTCGTCAGCCAGTAGAACGCGCGTATTAGCGTGAGTTTTATTAGCCCTAGCCTGTTACGGACGTTACAGACGGACAACACACTCCACTATTGGGGTAAGACTAGCCGTTCGCCGCCGCTACGCGCCGGAGTGGCATGGTTTGTTGGAGATGCGGTGGCCGCAGATTTAGATGCTTCTTGGTGTCGCGTACTTTGTTAGCGACGTTCACCCCAGTCGATCTTGGCTTCGTGTACTTAGCGACTTACCTTTCCGAGTCTCATCCGGCCCCGTATAATATCGTTGTTTGGTACGCTTTCGTTACCCCGTACTACAGGTTGGATGTCATGTTCTACAGTGGCCGGCGCTCTTCCGTGATATTTTTGGCTTCGTGGTTCCCTGCTCACCCGTGGCCCAGGCTGCTTAGTGATTGTCCTAGATTTGTGAACTCATTCTCTCACGGTGCTTAGTGGTTGTGTGCTAGCCTTTTTGGTCTCATGTGCTCCCGTAGCACGACCCTCTTTCGTGGCTGCTAGATATTCCGTGTTCTCAAGGGCTTACGTGTATTACACAGGCATCGTGTCCATGATCATTCATGGTCGATAGCATTCCATTTTTGGTACCCTCGCCAATGGGTGATTTTACGAAGTTTTCTGTCACCTGTGTGCCGCGCACCCCTGTGGTGGCTTCATCTACCGCGTTGTCGCGCTATCGTGCAATCACAATGTGGTTATGCTGTTTTTTGCTATCGTGATTGCATAGTATATATGTTTTGCCAATGTTATCGCGCTCTACGATGGTTCCGTGTCCGCGGTGTGCAATCTTGGTCTCCAGAAGCGTTTCCCCGCGATTTTGTGGCTGGTCGGCCGTCCGGGTAAACGTGTTTTAATGAAGTATCGTCCTCAGTGGTCCGGCGATCTCATGCTCTACTGTGCTATCGTGCTCAGTGGCTCGGTGATTTCCCGTGGCTGCTTGCTCTTCCATGTTTTAGTGGCTGTCCCATCGTTCATGGTACCGTGCAATCGCTTGGTGTCGCGGCTGGTCTGTCCTCCAAGCTCTCGTTATCTACAGTAGTATCGCGCTCCCCAGTGAGATCCGTTATTACCCAGGTATCGTGCTCCAATACTCGGTGATTTCTCGTTTATGGTCTCCCGCGGCTTTATGCCTGGTCCGTCGACCGTACTCCGTGCTCTACCGTGGTGCTATCGGAGAATTGCTGTTGGTGCACTCTTACCGCTACGTGTCT